TGACGACCTGAAGCCTTCTGACGACCTGAAGCCTTCTGACGACCTGACGCCTTCTGACGACCTGACGCCTTCTGACGACCTGAAGCCTTGAAGACCTGAAGCTTTGTGTCTTCGTATCTTCGCGTCTTCGTGTCTTCGCGTCTTCGTGTCTTCGTGTCTTCGGGTCTTCGGGGCTTCGTGTCTTCGGGGCTTCGTGTCTTCGTGTCTTCGGGTAATCGTATCTTCGTGTCTTCGGGTCTTCGGGGCTTCGCGTCTTCGCGTCTTCGTGTCTTCGGGGCTTCGTGTCTTCGTGTCTTCGTGTCTTCGCGTCTTCGCGTCTTCGTGTCTTGTTGTTTTCTGATCTTCGGGTCTTGGCGTCTTCGCGTCTTCGCGTCTTCATGTCTTCGGGTCTTCAGGTCTGCATGACTTCGTGTCTCCGAGGCGTTATGTTTTCCTATCTTTGTGTCTCCGCGTGTCTTCGAGTCGTCGTAGCTTCGAGTCTTCGTGTCTTTGTCTTGGAGTCCTTGTGTTTGCGCATCTGGTCGCCTTCGTTCTTTGGACCCCTCGCGTCTCGGTGTCGTCTCAAGGGCATGACTTCGCAAGCTCATATCCTCTTGTCTTGGCCACTTTGTGAATTCGAGTCTGGCTATCTGGATGTCCGGTGACGCCGAAGTCAAAAATACATGACATGACATGAGTGTATAATCTTGGAATTTTTGGTGGCCATTTTGACCTGCGAGGCCACACATGATGACAGGTTACGCGCGACACTTCCAGGTTATGTGCATTTTTTTTCCTCCAGAGCAGCGCGGCAGGGCGAAACTCTCTTCTTGGAAGTTTCCCGAAGTGTAGTAGCACACTTACCTTGGCGGAGGGGAGAATTGAAGCTGTGTCTGTTGATCAAAGCATGTAGAGTAGATCAGTACCAATATGCATCCTGTTTCTGCCTAGCGTACAATGACATTTTTTTCAATCTATGAAAAAGACATTTGGTGGGCACCATCAATTCTTGCCTACAGGAGGCCACTCAGGTCATCCACAGTTGGTTGAAGTATAGAATTGTGTGTGCGCTTGTATGCGCCGATTCGCGACCCCGGCGCATGGTTT